TTTTATGAATGTATTCTTTATTCACTGCAAAAAAATTTTTTTTAATATGAACGAGTATTATGGAAAGACTTAAGGAGAACCAGTGTCCTGATGGTTACTAAATAGAATGTAAAAATCACAAACCAGTGTATAATACATCTAAATTATAGAAACACTATTTTGATATGTAAATAAATAGTTTATTCATTCAAAAGTTATTTCAAGCATTTTTGAATCACACTTTTACACCACATTTTCTTCAGATACTGTTAATGATGATACAGACAGAGAAAATAAATTCCAGTTCTTATTTGACATTTTACAACCAAGAAAACAATTTTAAAAATCATAAAAACATTCTTCATTTTCATCCCTAGCTGTCCCACGTAAAAAAGAAAAAAGGTTTGTAGTCTTTTAAGCTTAAAATGAACCATATTTAATGAGCAACTCATGATTTTACCTATATTCATTCATTTTCTTTTTTTGGCACAGTCCCTTTATTAACCTGGGGTCGCCACAGCGGAATAAACCCTCAACTTATCCAGCATATGTTTTTTACACAACGGATGCCCTTCCAGCTGCAACCCATCACTGGGAAACATCCACACAAACTCATTCACACACATACACTACGGACAATTTAGCTTACCCAATTCACCTGTACCGCATGTCTGGACTTGTGGGGAAACCAGAGCATCCGGATGAAACCCACGCCAACACGGGGGGAGAACATGCAAACTCCACACAGAAATGCCAACTGGCCTAGCCAAGGCTCGAACCAGCGACCTTTTTGCTGTGAGGCGATTGTGCTACCCACTGCACCACAGTGACACCCATAATTTCACCTTCCAAAGCATATATTTATTTCATCCAGAATTGCTGGGATGTGCCTTTTGATAAGTGTTTACAACTGGAATATTCTCTGCTGTCAATTTACCTAGTAACTGTGAACCAGAAGTAACATACTGTACCTTTAAGGAATATTGAAAACACCTGGACAAAATTATTAAATAGACAGTTTAATAATGTAGTTAAAAAAGGAATGTTTTCCTTTTGTTTGTCAGATACCAATGAAATCATTCCAGCCCACATGCCATGCCAGTAGATGGTGATGTGGTAGGTTCTAAGTTGTCATCAGGCTGAAAACTTTTCTTGGATGTGGCAACCCTGTCCCCAATAGTTTTGGTTGTGAAGTACTGAAACATGCCTATATGCTTGTTAAGTGTGACGTCACACCAAGCGGCTTCCGGGTCCAAGCGCTATATCAAACTGTATGGAGAGGCTCAAATGGTAATAATAAACATTTATGTCCTTGCCTAATATCAGATGGCCAAAAAAAAATTATAATTTTTTTTTTTAGAAATTGTTAAAATTTTGGTATTTGTGATGCAGCAAGCCCAGAGACTGTTGTGTCCACTTTGCTTTTATATAAAATTCACTTTAATGTGTGATTTGACTAAAAAATGTCATAAACAAATATTTTCTCAATTCAAATGAGTAGCGGCTTGAAACCGGAATTATAATATCCATAAAGTCCATGATGCCACTGTTTTCACAATTGTTTTTGCCAAAAGTTGCACTTTAAATCCAATTAAAATAATTAGCTTTTTCATGCCCCCCAAAAAACATTGTCATGTAAATGAACAGTAAAAATGTGTCCCTCTCAGTTGCTGGAGGGCCAAATCCTTGCAGAGTTTAGTTTCAACCTTATTTAAACGCACCAAATCCAGCTAATCAAGTCTTTCAGGATTATTTTACAACCACCAGTATGTGTTTGAGCAGGGCTCGAACTAAACTCTGATTTTGACACCCCTGATATAAAATATACATTCTCTTTTCTTTTTAATTAATGGTTTTACAGTGGTAGAAGTAAATGCATTCATGCCCGGTTCTAATTACTGCAACTTGTGAAATTGTAAAATAATCACACGTCTAAAATGTGTTATCTCACGTGAACATCATCCAGAAATGACAGTTTTGACTTGGCATGAAAGCAGCTACTTTACCGACTTCTGAAAACAGCAGGAACTATAAATCTTGCCGCAGATTTACACAGATCTGATCCATAAATGTGAATCTAGCATTTTTATTCAAAATACTGACAAGTGCACACACATGATCCAGCACTTGACTTATTAGTATTAAATCATAATGCAAATCCTTTTCATTTTTACCTTCACCAACTTCACAAATAATTCATCCCGCACCCAATTATGATCAACATTTCACTGCTGAGAGTCACAGTAAGAGTTCCAGAATCCACAAACTCCCTCAATCATTATCAGAGTCTTTCGGAGGCAGAAATGTCAAGGAATCGTGAAAGTCGTGTCCGTACGGTCGAAGTCTGTAGACGCCGTACATCAAGACCTGTATCTGACTCGGCGACATCCCAGCAAATGTGATAGCCATGTCAGAACAACAGGCCTCCACCACATCGCCCGGATTTTGGCTGATGCTATCCGAAATCAAAGAGCTCACACTCTTCTTGTTAAAAAGCCCTTTGCCTTGGGCGTCCTCTCCGTTTTCAGCAAACACTCCGCTGTACTTCAGACAAGTGGCCAGTTGCTTTTCTTCAGACATCTTCCATAGAGCTCGTCCTCGCTCTGGACATTTATCTTCATCTTTAAACACCTCCATCAGCCTCCTCATCGCTTCATAACTCAACACAATCCCACTGTCGTACTCCACATAATCCAGCTCTCCAGACTTTTCCGTGTGGCCAATGTAAAACGGCTGGCTTGGATCTTTATCCAACACCAGGTATTTGAGATTCTCTATAATAGCAAAGGTGGTGGGTCGCGCTATGAAAAACCAGTGCAGGTCTCCGGCGTTCTCATAAGCGTGTTGGATGGCTTTGCGAAGCCTTGTCCACTCGTCCTGCTCCTGTAGGTCAACCGCATCTAGAGCTTTAGACGCCTCAGAGGTGTAAAACACAGATTTGTCGCAGTGTTTGCTCCAGGTGTCGTTAGCTGTCGCCCAGTGAACTAAAAGCTTTGGAGTAACCATGATGAGGCAGTAGACTCGAACCTGCATAGCGAACTCAGACATCTGAGACTCTGATAACTTCTGTAGCTCATCTTTGCTGACAGGTTTCAAATGATGGTGGAGGTGATTGTGACCTTCTGAGTGGGTTCCTGGATTAAAGGTCTCAAAGAAAGACATGATCAAGCAGAATATTCCTCCGAAGATCATGCCTTTCATAAATGAACTGCCCTCAGACATCATGCTAGAATGGAGTCGTCCTGTGATAGATTAAAACAACAATCAGACAGAACCGTAATGACAGCTCATGCATTAATGACATATTAAAAGCCCCAAAATAACTCTAATACTTCAGTTCTTTATTTAGACAACTCTTGGCTTTGGTATTGAGGTAAAGTTGGTTTTATATTCGCATATTGGTTCATTGACAACTTATGACAGGAAGCTTAATGTGGCTTATTGTACCTGAACATCAACCAGGGAAACCAAAACTTATGTCAAACTTTACTTGTAATTAACCTGAACTACTGTAAAAAGAATGAGTCCTAATGACTTAATGCAGTGTTTCTCAACCACGTTCCAGGAGGACCACCAACACTGCATGTTTTTGAGGTCACACCCTTTGTTTGTTACACCCATTACAGGTCTTTCAGTCTCTGCTAATGAGCTGATGATCTGAGTTAGGTGTATTTGGTTAAAGAGACATGGAAAAAAATTGCAGAGCTGGTGGTCCTCCAGGAACGTGGTTGAGAAACACTGGCATAATGTACCTTAACAAAAAGCAGGAAAACCAAATATCTATCAAATTTTACTCGTGACAAACACTGTCAAAAGAGTGAGCTCTAATTTTAGTGAAAAAAAATTATCACGTAATGCGTTTCTCCCTATTGAGTTAATTATAACAAGTGGGGCACGCCAAAAATCTATTAAAATTTACTTGTTCTACTAGTACTATCAAAAGATCAAGCCCTGATTCTGTAGATGAAGTAAACAACGTCATGTTAAGCGTTTTATCCCAATTTAAGTCCATTATAACAGCTTAATGTGGTTTAACTTAACATCTGGAGACAATCCAATTTTTATAAAATATACTCCTGATAAACACTTTCTGCTGTTAAAATAACAAGCTTTTATTTTAGATTGAGGTAAAGTTGATTTTATATTTTTTTCACATTCGCTCAGTGCCAACTTGTGACACAGTCCCTATATTGTTAACCATGGTACTATGAATATTCGGTGTGAAATCGTATGTAAATAGGACTTCAAAACAACATTAGCACTTTTTAATTGACCGTGAACAGTGTTGTACTTTGATAGTCATTGGCTGATTATATGATTTCCCTATTTAGAATGTGCAAATAAGATTATATTATTAGGGAAAAAGTCTGAAACAGCTTAACGTGGCTTAATGTACCTTTACACTGACCAGGGAAACCCAAATTTCTGTCAAACTTTACCTGTGATTAAGAATAACTATTATCAAAAGAAGAATAAGGAAAGGCTTAAAGTAACTTAACAACCGGGGGAAACCAAATGTTAAAAAGGCTGTTTAAAAAAAATCTAATTTTATTTATGATAGATTAACCCTTGCTTTAATGGGGGAGAAAAGACTTAACGTGATAATTTTCCCTTTAGCTATGGGATTAAGACTTGTTCTTTTTACAGTAGTTCAGGTTAATTACAAGTAAAGTTTGAAATAAATTTGGGTTTTGCTGGTTGATGTTTAGGTACAATTAGCCACATTAAGCTTTTTTTCGTTGAGTGTTTTAGAATGTCCCCTTATGACAGGGGTGTCCTGGACAGTTTAGCTCGAACACTAATTAAACACTCCTGAACCAGCTAATCAAGCTTTTTCTAGATATAACGTTTCTAGAAAATTCCTGGCAGGTGTGTAAAGCAAGTTGGAGCTAAACTCAGCAGGACACCGGCCCTCCAAGATTATGTTAGGACACCCCTGCCTTATGACATACTTTCTATATTGTTTACTCTGGCACTTTAAATATTTTGTGTCTAATCACATGCAAGTATGACTTCAAAACAACATTACCAGTATTTAATTGACTGTGAACAGTGTTGTACTTTGGTCGTTAGCTGCTAATAAGACTTAACTCTTTAAAATTGGCCAATAATACTTGTCTGAAATGATATTAGTAACGAGAAAGTCCTAATGTGTGAATATAAAACCAACTTAACGTTACACCAATGGCTTTTGTGACCTGCTAAGGCAGCCGGTCAAGTTTATCGTACTTTTAAGTCAAGCAATATTTGTGAACATCCGAATTCATCTACCTGCCGTGTAACAAATTTAACAGGTGACCAAAAGTGTACATTAAACCATTTAGATTGTTGAATTCGTTACCTTTTAACGACGAAGAATAGTGATCGCATTTAGACGCTGCACCGTCGCACTTAGTTCCGTATACACAACCGGAAAACAACGAACAAATATAGAATCTGTTCTGGAGTCAGCTCAACCTGTTTTGCTTCACATTTATTGGCATGATGTGTTGTAAGAAAACTGGTTACAGTCCAGTGTTACAGGATCTTAGAACACGGATGTTTAAGCGGATGTTTAATTCCCCGCTAATAGCACTCTGGGAAATGTATTTTTTCGGTGTAGTTTCGTTGTAATGAAAACGGTGATAAAAACTACAAACGTCGCTTTGCTGTCGGCGAGGACGGAAATGATTTAAGTGCTATAAAAGTTTACAGATTATACAACCAAGTTAATATTTCATTCAGTCACAAAAATTTCAGGAACTGAAATAAATAAGGTATAATAAAATTAAACAAACAGATAAAACTGTACTTACTATGTCACAAGGATAAATTAGTTAATTTTAATTTATAGGAAAATATATATTAAGATCTTAGAGGGATTTTTTTAGTCTGTCAGGAATTTTGTTTGCTTAAGGGCATTTATTTTTATTGGTCTCCTATGTTTAGTGTCTCCTATGTTTAGTTTTGGTAAACTAATGACAATGAAAAAGGTTTAGTCAGATATTGATGTGTCTCATTTTTGTCCCATCAAAGAATCCAGATAAAAATGTTTTAATTTCAATGAAATTCAGACAGAAAGAGCTATACATTTGAAAAATTAAATAGTGAATTAATTGTTATTTAAATTGTGAAATTGTTAAATTGAAACAAATAGTTTAAATAATTTATCATGAAATTTTACTTAAAATTATATTTCAAAATTCTTTAAATGGAAAACTGGTATGCTATTTTTTTTAAAAACTGACAATTAAAAAATATTTATTTTTATAAACGTTTTATATTTTTCAATTATTTTGACAACTTTACTTTTGCATTTAAATATTAATTTGTAAGTAGTACTTAATAAAAGTTTTATTAAATAAATCATAATAAAATGTCACTATAAAGGTGTCTATATAAAATACATACATATTAGCATGGATTTACTTTATCCACATATAATTTACCTGTTACTCATAAAGAATTTCATATGGTGATTAAGGCCATACCTAATGGCCTTGCTCATTTAATGAAATGCCACTTGTCTTTCGAAGTGATTGTTAAAAAAGAACCAAAGTTTTTAGTTCAAGAATAATGCGTTCACGACCTAAAATTTAGTATTAAAACATGAGAAATGTTTCAGTCAAAGAAAAGAATCACTCCGAGGGGAAAAAGTTCTTTGGAATTTTCTAATAGATAAAATCAACTTAAAAAACTTTGATCTTACCTTACAAATTCTGTGTTCTGTGTGCTTAAAAGTGTTACACAATATCTCCCCCCACAAATTAGATTGTGTCTAAATTTGGTAATCCTAATTCAAATTGTGTCTTGTAACTCAAGTATTGAATCAATTAATCATCTTTTTGTCAAATGCCAACATGTTAAAGGGTTTTGGTCTGATTTATCAGTGGGTTTTTTTACATCGAATTGTAGGTGTAACATTGAATTTTGTATGTCTAATATAATTTGTTACTTTTCAAATGACAAACATGCAAACAAACAATTTATTTAATTTAATGGGTAATTATTATATTCACAAATTTAAATTTTAATCATTACCCAATTTGAAGAATTTTCTCTGTGACTTGAATTGTGTGTTGGGGGGGGAGGGTTGTGGTAAAATGTTATAAGGACTTTAAACATTATTTAATTTTCTTTATTTCCTTGTTTATTATTGTGCTTGATGTCATTCAATGTTATGATCTTATATCTAAATCACACTAATATCTTTCATCTCATGATAATGCCCTTACAGGAAAATGACACCAAAACAACATTTTTTAAATCATCAATGTAGAAAGATACTTAGAGAAAGCAGATGGTGCAGTTACCGAAGCCACCAGCAGAGGCCAGGCCGAGGGGTCAAAAAGATTTGGCCGGTTAGCAGGACTCTGTTTTAGCCCTTGATAGCAGATGTCACTACTACCTACACCATCTGTTTCCAAAATTCGTCTTCTTTCATTTACATTCACTGAAAATGAGCCATGTTTTCTGACAAAATACTTTTTTAAGCATTCCTTCTTTAAAGTAATGTTGGTCTGTATTTATATATTCATGGATTTTTTTAATCCAGCCACTTAAATCGGCCACTAACTGAGACAGATAGAAAGACTCCCTGCTAATTAATATCTTTCTCTGCTATAGAAATGATCTTTGCTATAGCACAGCTTTCCTGCCCAGCATCGCTAATGAACTCCTACTCATAAACTTGCTGAACTCCATCTCTCAAGATCTAAGCTTGAACAGCATTCGCTTACAGCATGTCCAAGCGCTTAGACCATTTTACATACTGAAGAGATTGCAGGCTTTCTTTTTCATGCAAAATCTGAAGAGATAAATTACTCATGCAATCATCACTGGTGCATAAACAACTCAAAAAAGCACTTTTGGTTTCTCGGCTGCCTTCATTTCATGAATACCTCAAAAGTGATATGAGTGACAAAAAACATTAAAGGAAACAATAATAAAGAAAGAATCTGCAGCAGTGCTATGAATTAGTCAAAATAGGGGTTGTTTCGTCTTTGCTGGGCATGGTGAACATGAAATGCTGTTTCAAGGGAAAGCCTTTAGGAACACAATATTTGCATCAAAATCAACATTCTGGTTTGATTTTATGAACAATAAATAGACACAGGGTAACCATGTGGCTCAGTGGTTAGCACAATCGCCCACAGCAAGAAGGTCGCTGGTTCGAGTCCTCTCTGAGCCAATTAGCGTTTCTGTGTGGAGTTTCTTGACATCCTCATGTTCGCGTGGACCTTCCTCCGGGTGCTCTGGTTTCCCCCACAGTCCAAAGACATGCGCTAAAGGTGAATTGAGTAAACTAAATTGGCCATATAGGTGTGAAAGTGAGTAGTGATTCCCAGTACTGGGTTGCAGCTAAAAGGGCATCTGCTGTGTAAAACATATGCTGGAATAGCTAACAGTTAATTCCGCTGTGGCAACCCCTGATGAATAAAGGGACTAAGCCGAAAGAAAATGAATGAATAAATAAATAGACACAAAGGTTAAAATATACATTAGTAAAAGACTATTTAGATAATATTTGTTTTTGTTTTATTATTATCATTATTAATATTAATCAAGTATCTAGTAGTTTTAATAAATAATTTAAATTACTTTTAATTCTATTCATATTTTATCTAGTGCTTTGTGTCTTTTGTTATTTTTATTTGTGTTATTTGTGTTGCTTTTGCTTTTTTAATATTAGTTATTCATTTTAATATTTTTAATTGCATAACTATTGTAGTTGTAGTATTTAATTCATAGTTTTAACTGTAGATTTTAAGTTAACCAAAACAATAATTAATGAAATAATTATTTAATATTTCAATTGGATAATAAAATCCTTATTTCATAAGCTATAATTGTTTTATTATTATTTTAAGTTAGATAGCTTTATGGTATTTAAATATACAAAAACTGTGTTTTATTATTTTAGTTGTAGTTTGCTTTAATTGTAATAATACAACAATACTGGACAAATCTAACAGCAACGTAAAACAAGGATTATTAAAGGTGTACACAAATAAGTAAAATAAAATAAAATTAATAGGTAAGTTTTCTTTTAACTTGCTTTAAATATAATCTTCCATTAATGGTCTCAGAAGTATCTATATTTCACTTTTTTTTAAATGATTGCCTTCATGGTGGGCTTGATATTAGCATTAGAAAACCAAATTCCTTTGTTCCCCGTGCAGAGAGGCGCTGGCCCTTTAAGAAGAGACATTTCAATCTAGGCGTGTTTCCTGCTCCCGAACAGAATCCAGTCTTGTCTGCATCCTACGACGCGAAACTGGAAGAACGAATATTTCACACGTTACCCGAAAAATTTCTTAATTATCGACACAGGTCACAACAGGGTTACTGAAATTTATTTAGTGTCGTTTCAAAAGAAAAAGAGACGGAGAATCCTTTCGGGAAAGACGCTTTTAACCAACCAAACCAATGACATAAATGTCAGTCGGTCAAGGTCCACTCACGCTCCAGATGTGTTCAGCATTTGCACGTTTATTTCACCTCAGCCTCGCTATTTGATCCGAAATCTTTACAATTTTTAACCAGGAACACTTTTATTCTGTGCCAGAATGGGATATCTTCGCTTTTGGAGGAGGATTTTGCTTTTTGGCATTTGATTGGGACTTTAAATAACCATGGATTTAAGTACAGATGATATGCAGATATGTAGATCAACGGACTTGTGATTTAAAAACAAACTAACATTGAAGATTCACCTGGAGAATTCTGCACAGGACGAAGAATTGCATTCCTGCTAAAGCTCCAGTGTTTCTTGATAGCTGATAACTCTTAATCTCAGGTTAATCATTCAGTGGACGCGCTTGTGCTTCATTTCAGGTTGAGTTGAACGAAGATAATTTGATTGTACATTCGCTACCATGTCGGCGGTGATGATAACGCGGAAGATCACTCGAAAATGGGAGAAATTACCTGGGAAAAACACCTTCTGCTGCGATGGACGGGTAATGATGGCTCGGCAAAAAGGAGTATTTTACCTGACCCTGTTTCTCATCGTCGGAACCTGCTCTCTGTTCTTCGCCTTTGAGTAAGTGCATGTCATTGGCCATTATTAGGATTATTAGACCTCAATTACACTGCTGACGACCGCGGCTGTCAGTCTGGAGTCAGGCATCTATTCATTCATTACAACAGAGCTTTTGCAGTGTACATGGCCTTTGTTCAGTACCATTGTAGGGTGTATTAAGCATTATGACTATATATATATATATATATATATATATATATATATATATATATATATATATATATATATATATATATATATATATAGATAGATAGATAGATATATCTATATCTATATATATATATATATATATATATATATATATATATATATATATATATATATCATAAATATATAATAATAATATATTAAAAATAAATAAATGATGCTCTCCTGACATTTTAAAGGTCAAAATAAGCATTCTCTTCGATATGTAAAATGAAATCTAATTGGCATATTGACTGTAGCCTACAACATAAATGAGTTAATTTTATGATAGTAAATATCTGATTTAACCTTTTTTTGTGAGATCTGATCAATTAATTGATAAAAACTGTTCACAGAATCTAAAGAAATAATATTTTAACTTATTTTTATTTATTAGTTGTTTGTGTGCTGTTGTTAGGGTTCTTTCATGTTTTAATGTGTTGCCAATTACAAGTTAGCAGGTATTTTTAGGTAGTATGTATCCTGACTATTTGGATAACATTTTAGATTTTATTTGGATTACATTTGATTAATCTTGGATTAAATTTAGATTTTTCACCTCTCTCAGTTTGACCTCAGATCCATTAATAAATATTTTTCTTATAAAAATATTTAAATTTATAGGAAAATTATTATTTTAAATTATTTAAAAAAAAAAGATTATATATATATATATATATATATATATATATATATATATATATATATATATATATATATATATTTATATATATATATATATATATATATATTTATATATATATATTTATATATATATAGTGGTCTGAATGATTCACACCAGTTGAGTGAGTGATTTTTTTTTTAAATAATGTAATTCGTAAAGAAGCAACTATAACGTCATTATGAACATATTAACATAAATGTAGCATTATTTTTGTATAAAATACAATGGAAAATATGTGTACAATTTTATGATGATGGTTTTGTCAACACATACAAACTGCAAGTTCGCTTTATTAAGTTGCATTTAGATTTAGATTTTTTTTTGTGATACAGTAAAAACATGTACTAAAGCAATATGTTCGAAAATATGTTTTTGTCAGATCACATAATGAAACTGTGATGTCAGGAACCATGTAGGCATGGGCCGGTATAAGATTCTGACGGTATGATAACCAGGGATAAAAATATCACGGTTTTACGGTATTGGGACTATTTATTACTATCACTGCTCTAAAATAAAAAGTAATAGGTTTATAAATAATAATATATTTGTAATAATAATATTTAAATAATAAAACAACTTTTCCCCCATATTCAACACAATATATATTTTTTAGGAAACATTTAAAATATTTTGAACCAGTAGCTGTTGATGTAGAGGTTCCTTTTCTGCTGAAGATACTGTTGCCTTAAAAAATGAATTAAAATAGATAAAAAAAAACTTCAACCTTAGGAACAGTATAAAACTTTGGTGGTTTTAAAACCGTGCAAATATGCCATGATGAGCATATAGTTTTGCTCTTCTTGCTGTTTGCCTGAGCACCCATTTAAAGTGATATGCGTGCTTTTGTGCATTTTTTTCATTATGCTATGATGTGAAACAGCTGAATTACTTTCTTAAAATCAGCAAATAAACAAAGTCACTTTAATGATTCGGACTTTGCATCGCTATATGACAGTCATAACCACCTGTAAATGATTTATGTTGATTCTTAACCTCTGAAAGGACTGGTTAGTTTAATAAGTCGGTACTTTTTGCTACAAAATTTGGTTTATTAATGTTACCACCTTTAAAAGTTAATCTAGTTTCATGAGCTATGAATCTTTTTAAACATTTCTATAAGTCTGACATCATACATCACATTTCAGGGTTCAAATGCTTTATTACATTGCAAAGCAAACAATACACAGTGCTAATATACACACACAGGCAGTAGTTTACACTGTGTGTTTTTAAAAATGAGTTTTAATGTGTTATATGACTACACTGTCATCATAAATGACTTTCGAGACCATCCTGTATTCTGTTAACATTACAAGGCTTAAAGGGATAGTTCACCCCAAAAAAAGTAAATTATGCCGTCATTTACTTATTCATGAGTTTCTTTATTCTGAATTACACAAAATAAGATATTTTGAAGAATGCTGAAAACCTGTTACCATTGACATCTGTCTCTGTTTTTTCTACTATGGAAGTCAAGGGTTACAGGTTTTTAACATTGTTCTGAATATATTCTTTAGTGTTGCACAGATTAAAGAAACTCAGAAATGTTTGGAACCACATGAGGGTGAGTGAATGGAGTAAATGTATTTTTTTTGAGTGAACTATCCCTTTAAACTTATAGTACTCATTAAGGCATGACTTACGAATTGGATTTACGTTTAATTATTTGGTAGAAGCTTTTATCCAAAGTGACGTATACATAAATCATTAGAATTAAAGGAACAAAATAACCAAAAATATGTAAAGATTGTGATAATTCCTAAATAGTTTATCTAATTAGCAATAACCATTTATATATAAAGTTGTTATTATTATATACAACGTGTATATATAATGTTTCAAACATAATATTTGTTAATACTAAACTGTTAATGGAAGATTGTAGTATTATGTAAGATTTTAAAAGACCATTTGCTTGCTGCTGGTTTGGAAACAATGAAGAGCTGTGTCATCTTTGTTGCCAAAACACATTTTCACAACAGCAGATTTCCGTCCATGTTGATGGAGCTGGATGTGCTTCATGTTGGATGCGATCTCTGTTGGGTGGATATAAAGTCCCATGTGCGGACTATGACGTCTGTGGTTGGCGTTTCCTGAGACTCGAGTGTTGTGTCCTGCCTATATCTAGGGTCCTCCATTAGGCTTGTTCATCAGCGAAGAGGAAACAATTCCCTGTCCCTAGTCAGACACTCTGTGATGTGCACAGCGACTGGCACTCGCTGCACGCCATGTTCATATCACTGTTACTGATAATTAGTCCTCATGGGGCAGACATATTAGCTGAAAGACTGGGCTCAGTGCAAAAGTGGGTTTCCAAATTGTTTATTACATGACAGGCTAATCGAACAACTAAGACGTTTTTTGGGCCCTTGCCATTTTGATTTTAGTTTGTCTTCATTTTTTTTTTTTATATGCATTGCAGCTTGCATGAATGCATAATGTCTGCAGATATCATCTTTATAGACTGAAGTTCACATTGGGTTTGAATGTGATGCTTTGCTAGAAATATTTTATCAGTGAGTCTATAGAGTAGATTTTATTTATCAGCTCTAAATATCACAAAAGATCTACAGATATTCCTATATTCTTCATGACATCTATAGTGTCTTAAGTTTCGAGAGGGGTCTGGATGGAGACCTGGTCAGGTGCAGATGCAATCTGAGCTGCAAGCAATGCTTTTTAATGGGCTTAACTAACCCCACCCCTAACCCTACCCCTCACAGTGACATCACTAGCTCCATTGAGTTCATCGTGTCTGACATTGCATCGCTGAAAGATGCAATCTCAGCTTGCATCATAAAGGCTGCATCCAGATACTATTGTAAGTTTCAGTATTGCTTTTTTATTTTATGTGCACCAAGGCTCTACGATATTGGAAAAATCTAACATTGCAATATTTTTTTATTTTCCGATATGAATACAATTTCACTAAATATCATATTTGAAAAGAATTTATGTTTAATCAGTTGAGATGACTTTGCAGTGGGAGTGCATCTCCATAAAATCTAATAAACAATCTATAAAATTTTTAGGGTCCCCTGACACATTTTTGCTGTGGTCTGTGCTATTTGCAGTGCATTTTTGTTTTTGCATGTTGTGAGTATTTACCTGCATAGCAATCTACAAATACAACCAAGAAAAAGATACAATTGAAATAAAGGGTTTTATAGTTTCACAAGTCTAACAGTATTCAAGTACAGTAACTGAATGATTAAAAAAAAAAAAAAAGAACTGTAGGTAAGGTCACAAATGGTACAATTTCTTATGCATGAATGCTTTTAAAGTCATTATACAATATATCACAGGCATTAAAAATGCATGCAAAATGATAAATTATAATACAAACTCAAAGTTGCATATCCTGCAATGTAACTACTGTGAATGTTCACATTGCGATATTGATGCTAAAACGATATATTGTGCAGTCTTATAGTGCAGTGGTAGGGAACATATGGTTTTCGAGCCAAATGTGGCTCTTTGACCAAAAATATGTGGCTCTCCAGCTGTCTTCCTTCAATAAAATTTTATTGTTTAAAAAATTTATAACAGTCACTAGAAATCTATTTATCGAAATTACAATTCCCTCTTTATTGTAATTTTTCACAGCAAAATTAATAAGAACTCTGTTAACAATAAAAGCATGGTCTTTCTTCATTCATGGACTTGCTCAACATGTGATGCTTCATATTTGTTTATTTTTGAGTTGTGCATGGACATAAACTAAGATTCGTGTAAACGTGTAATATTTATAGTAGTAATACAGTAGCAAATACATTTTTAAAGAGGCATTTTGAGATATACATAGATCCAAATGGCTCTTTAAAAAATGCATTTACTAAAAAAAAAGTCAGAAATAGCTCTTTGTTGAAAAAAGGTTCCCAACCCCATAGTGCATCCTTATCCTTTTCATTGTATATTTTAGTGATCATTTTGAAAATTTATTAACAATATTTTGTCCCAGTGCCAGTTAAGCATATCTTTATATTTTCTTGGTTAACAGGTTTACATTTTAATTGCAAGCCTTAAAAATGTAACTGTTGTATTAAACATTTTTAAATAGTATTTTAGCACATTTAAAAAAATAATAAGCTAGATTTGAGGAGCAGCATTTTTCCCCATATTTTCT